GGATGCCCCATCCCCGGAAACATTCAAGGTCAGGTTGGACAGGGCTCTGAGCAACCTGATCTTGTTGAAGATGTCCCTGCCCACGGCAGGGGGGGTTGGACTAGATGACCTTAAAAGGTCCCTTTCCAACCCAAACTATTCTATGATTCTATGAACTCCAGGCATTCAATGCCTCTTCTATATTTGAGACCTCTTGTATTATACATAGAGACTTCTTCAGGTTGGGTTCTTCAGGCTGAAACTGCTGCTTTCCTTTGAGCAGTTGGCTCTTTCCTCACTTTCAATGTTTGTTTTAGCTCATTTAACAGTAAATTTTAAAACATTATTACCATGCTCGTTACTTTGTCCTCCATTTTGTTGGGACCATCCAATTTACATTAGATATTTGTCTTCTGTTTCTAAGTGCCATTTTCTTGTGTTTAAAATCATCTCCACGGCCCTCTGAGTACCACTGTAAAAAATTTTAATGTGCCTTTTGTCTTTCAGATCTCACTGCTGGTTGCGTTCATCAGTGTAAATAATTCTCCGTGGACGGATTACAGTGCGTACAGCTACTTTCAGATTGTCACCATGTGCGACTTGGTTATGATTTTGTTCTTCTACATTATCCACATTTTCAGAGTCTACAGGATTCTCACTTGTGTTAGCTGGCCACTTGCGGTAAGTCTGGGTTGCTTGCCTCTTTTGTGGGTTGATGTCTTGATTACTTAGTTCATTTTCTTGTGCTATCACACAATGATAGGCTGTCTTCCACGTACTTCTTTTTTGCCTTGTATACAAATCCTTTTGTTGCTTTTGTTATTAGTATTCAGTTCAGCAGATGCTGTAATTGTAAGGTTTTTTGAGCTGATTTGGATCTGATCCCGCCCTCGTTTACACAGATATAAATCCAGGTTTACTCCAGGGAAGGCAATAGTGTTATTCTGAGACAATTGAAAAGAAGCTACGGATTATCAAGCTTCAGCAGATGGGTCCTAGCTCAGGTCATTTATAGCAGCTAAGGGATTGCTAGAGTGCCAGATCATAGCATTAGAATTCATGTAGTACATCCTGTCCCAAAATAAAGTCTACTAGTGCTATTTAAGTTAAATGTGTCTCTTTTTGGAATGGTTTTAGGTAACTTAAACAATAGCAAGAAAGCAGCCTCAGCCTGATTGCCATAGCCTAGCCATTCCTGGGATATCCTGCAGGATGTTCCTGCCTCATTCCCACATTTCCCCTGCACATCCATCTCTCATGGAGAACTAACGAGCAGCACAGAAAATGCGAGACCTGAACTTCCTCAGTAGCTTTGGGTCAGGTCAGCTAACAGAAGGGTCCTGCGTCCTAGTGTGGGGTGACGGATTTTAATAACCTCTTAGAACATGTCTCCCTTATGCATGGTGACATGTTAGTTCCACAGAGGAAGGACCAAAGGGATGGGGAAAGCCAACTGGAGAGATATAGAGGGATTTTGAAATCCGAGAATTATTTGGATGGTGTTTAATGGAAGCTATGTAAGTAGTTTACAGATCTAAGATAATGGTTAGTCCATCCATCCACTCCTAACCAGAGAGAAAATTTAAATTTTCTCTTTAGCTGAAGAATATGGTTAGACTTGTGCCCCTTTTTATTTTTTCAAACGCGTACCACCACTAACTGTCTCTAGAAAGTACTTCTTTACCTAGAGATAATACAGATGCAGGGATTGAAATGAGGGATTGAAATAAGCTAATAAATGACAGTTTTGCAAAGCAGCATTTAATGTGGTGTTGGTTATGAGTGTCTGCATAGTTGTGCTTTTCGTGGCTTCTCTCCCGTTTCCAGTCTTGGTTGATGTAAGTTGTTAGTAAGTCCAGCAGTAGATCCACTGCTTACTTTCTAAGATTATCAGAAGTAGGACCATTTGGTTTTCTACTTATGCCATTTGCTGCCATTTATTGCCATTTCATATAGGCTAGAGAAATATGTCCTTAAGGCTTCTTCCTTCCTCCAGAACTGTCTCTTTAAGTAAGGTGCATACTTGATGCCATAAAGATACGTGTTTCACCCTCAGTAATATACCATGTTGAATTGAAAGGATTGCATCCATACCCAGTAAGTAGATCTTATTCCAGTGACATTAGTAGACCTGAAGATTGGCCCTCTCTCCTTTTTTGAACAGAAAATCAGGTATGGTACAAAATCCACTCACAGGGTGGGTTTTTTTCTCTTTTTTTAGCTTTTTTTTTTTTTTTTGTTGACTGGTGTTTTGTCCTCTGGGTTTGAGTAACCTCTGCCAAATTGTTTTCATTCTGAGGCATATCGAAATGCTTTCCTGATAAGTTTCCCTTCTGATGCAGGCTGTGCTTGTCTTTAAAAATCAGGTATGGTACAAAATCCACTCACAGGGTGGGTTTTTTTCTCTTTTTTTAGCTTTTTTTTTTCTTTTTGTTGACTGGTGTTTTGTCCTCTGGGTTTGAGTAACCTCTGCCAAATTGTTTTCATTCTGAGGCATATCGAAATGCTTTCCTGATAAGTTTCCCTTCTGATGCAGGCTGTGCTTGTCTTTACAGGAGTTTCTTCATTATTTAATTGGTACAATTCTGCTTCTCATTGCATCGATTGTAGCAGCATCCAAGAGTTACAATTTGACTGGACTTGTGGCTGGAGCGGTAAGACTGTGTTTATTAGTCTTGACTTTTTTTTTAATTGCAATATATATTAAGTAGGGCATTGGAAATCTATTACTTGTAATTTTATTTTCTTACAGACTTGCCTTGCTTGTGTCTTGGTTGGCTGAGCTACCTTCTAGCTCATTTCAGTGAATGTTCTGTAACACAATGCCAACAAAAATATTTTGTTGTGAAACTCCAGACTCACCACTAAAGTGGATATTTGTCCTGTCAGAGAGTTGAAACCAAAGGTTCCTGCTTTAACTCATAGGAACTAATGAGTTTAGGGGAAGAATCAAGGCAATTCAGTTTTGACACATGGCTGTTGTAGCAGCTAGAAGTTACCTAAAGGATTTCACTCCAGTCTTTGGCTTTTGATGCCTCCTGCTCCTGAACAGAACCCCGTTCAAGATAATTTCTCCCGAGCTAAAACCCACTGGGGTCCTGGGCTGACTTACTGGAAGATACTCTCTGCCTCTGCTGGCTGGAGGGCTTTATAGAGAGAGGCATTCCTTCCGAGCGTGGGCAACAGTATTTTCACAGCAGCAGGACCTGAAATACAGCTCCTCGAGAGTAAAGAATTACTTTCAGAAACTTAGTCCTGATGATGCAAACAGACTAGAAGACTTACCTGACTTGCTTATTCGGCAGGTGGCAGGGAAAGACTTGTTTGAATGGGGCAGTAAAAGAACAGTAATCAGAGGTGTTAGAAAAAGTTTTTTCTTTGTTGCAGAATCCTAGTGAGAAGTCTAGAAGGCGAGACTCCATGCTGCTTTTTCTCCCCCCTTGTATATGACTTTCAGTCTATCTTTCAGTCATTGTTTTGACAAGACATAAGCTGCTATTATACTACGGAAACTTTTATTTTTTTAGTATATTGGGAGAATGAAGTAAGAAATCACTTTTTTGGGTCTGTTAACATCATAAAATATGTAGCTGGATAAACAAGAGTGTCCGTACATTCATGGAATATGTGTCATCTAATGTTCCGTAAGTATTTGTGGTTTGTTTGTTTTCTCATCCAGACTTTCGGGTTCCTAGCTACGATCCTTTGTGTTTTAAGCATATGGTCATCCTACAAGGTTTCGTGCATCACGCAGTCAACAAGTAAGTATCATGCTTAGTAACTGCCAGAATGCTTCCCAAAATGAATATTTATATTTTCTGCCACAGGGCTGTGTCTGCCTGGAAGGATTTATTAACGTCCTGTTCCTTGTTACTCAAAATTGCTCACAAAGCAATAATTCCGTATTTTCTGTCAACACAGATGTATCACAGCTACTGACAGCTGTTAACAACTAACTACAAGAGCAAAATAACTTGCTTCTAGCAAGTAGTGAATGTATCAGTGCTTTCTCTTCTCCCTCCCCCACCCCCTACCAAAAGAAGGTTTCCTGTGTGTTCCTTAATCAAGTAGATGAATTTGTTTGTGCAATGCAAGTGACACTGTCTTCCTTTTCAAAGATGCATCTGTATGACTCCTCCATCTCTGCAAGACGTCTGCCTTACAAAATAGGATACCAAAGAGGATCGTCCACTACTGATGAGAGAGCATGGGTATTTTGTTACTAGCCTGGACAGCCGGTAGCTTTTGAAGATCTCCTTGAATGCCTATGCAAAACAATGTTGTGAACCAAAGGTTTTTTGCTCCCCTCACTTCCCCCCCTCAAAGAAGTTTATAATGGAGAACCTGCTTTTTATGAGCTTTACAGAGAAAGACAACTTCTGCCTCACAAGCTGGGCTGCGGTCATTTCCAGCTATTTGCAATAAGTGCATTTAAAACTCATTTGGAGAGTCGTTTGGTTCTCCGTTCAGAGGGATGGAAAAATTGCTTCTGATTTTCCTCCATCTGTTTACAGAAGGGAAATCCTGCAAAGTCCTACCTGATTCTTAACTTCAAAGGATGATTTGCTTAACGAAGGAACTGTTACAAACTGATTTATGCCTGGATAAGCTGACCCAAGTCTTTGTTACCTCTTTCTATCAGAACTGTGGACTTTTTCTAACATCAGCTCAGCCAGCATCAAAAATTATGAACTGCAACTTGAATACGTCACTGCAAACACTCCCTCCTAGCCCCAACTGTACATGATGAAATCGGGTTTTTTCTCCATGAATTTTTACAGGTTATTAACAATCAAAGATTATTCTTTAAAACTTCCCTCTGCCAAATACAGAAAAATACATACCCAAGAATATGTGTTTAATGTTTTGTGGGACCTTTTCACAAATACAAATACCCATTTTACAAATGAGTAAGACCCATTCTGTAGACAATTTCTGTGCATTTGCTATAAATTATTCTCTTTGGAGTCTAACAGTGTTTATGGAAAGCCCATTGTGAATGGAGCAATGTGCTGCTTTCTGTGTCTTACGTGCGGTTTGTCCCTTCCTCTGCCTCTGCTGGGATCCATGCTTTTGGAGACTCTGCCCAGAGCCTGGACAGGCAGAACAGTTCAGTTTTGTCCAAGCTGGTATTGTCATGAAGTTTTGTGTAACTTCGAGGCTGAGACAATGTCTTCTTGGCACCTTTGTCTTTCTCTCCTTTTGCAGTCCGTCTCTGGTGAGCTGGAAATTATTTGCAGGAAAAAGGGAAGCACAGGCCCGTCTTCCTTGGTGCTTTCCCTTTTCATGTCTAGCTGTGAAGTAGAACTTGTACTTATAAGTTGGTCTCTTCTGTCAGGACAACTGCATGATGGTGCAGCAGGTTTCTGCAAAACGTAGGATTTATACAGTTTACCAGGTCCCATCTGGAGGAAAGAAGCATTTTCTGGCGTGCTATGCATTCTCCTATTTGTCTGAAATTCTGCGCCAATACTGCTGAGTAATTTAATGGTCCTCTCATAAAATTCTTTTTGTGCCTCATAGCAGGTCATCATACATTGCCATTTGTTGCCACCTTATTTTTTTCTCTCATCCTAATATATGTATCTTCACTTTGAATTTTTTTTTTTTTTTTTTACTCTTTGACAAGAGAAATTGGCCAACTGCTAAAGTGTCAAAAATTTTGAGTAAGTAGATGAAAATAACTGAGCAGATAACCTGGAAAGGTAGAAATCCCCCTCCTCGTGGTGCAGTTTCTGTGATTCTTCTTGCTGTTCCTTTTCATAAGTGCCCTATTTACAGCAACATAGAGCAGGAAATACTTTGAAAGCGCAAAAGTCTGCTGTTTGTGGATGAAGATACATATATTCACTCCAAGATAAACTGCTTTGACGCTAACATAGAGGATTATTCAACTAAAACTATGTAAGAGGCAGTTATAATGTTACTAATTTCATATTGACTGTTTTTTATTTCTTTACACCATCCAACTTTGGCCTGCTTTTCTGCCCAATACCTTCAGATGACATATTTTGTTTGGTCAGAAATGGGTCACTTTTTTGTTTTTAATGACCTGAATTGAGCATTCCTCGAAGGCTCTTTGGCGTAAAAGAATAGACATCTTTCTCAGCTAGAAATCCACTGTCAGCAGAGTCAGTGATGGTTCAGGATTCTTTGCCCTGCCAGCACAGGACTGGTCCAAAGGACAGTCCTGTTTGACAAGGGACTTGTTCATTGGGGTTGTTCAGCCTAGAGAAGAGAAGGCTTCAGGGAAACCTTCTCGCAGCCTCTCAGTACTTAAAGGGGGCTTATAAAAAAGATGGCGGCAAACGTTTTAGCAGGGCCTGTTGCAACAGGACAAGGGGGAATGGCTTTAAACTAAAGGGGGGTAGATTTAGACTAGCTAGAAGGAAGAAATGTTTTACCCTGAGGGTGGTGAAACACTGGCACAGGTTGCCCAGAGACGTGGTGGATGCCCCATCCCTGGAAACATTCCAGGTCAGGTTGGACAGGGCTCTGAGCAACCTGATCTAGTTGAAGATGTCCCTGCCCAGGGCAGGGGGGTTGGACTAGATGACCTTTAGAGGTCCCTTCCAACCCAAACTATTCTATGCTTCTATGACTTCATTCTGGGCACTCTGAGTGAAAATACCTGCAGAAGGTGGTATACACACACGTGTATATACACACGCACACACACATATACACATGTATTTTTTTGCAACAGGGGTGCTTGATCACCAGTTCTCCTGCCAAGACTGACTTAACTATAGCTTTTGGAAACTAGCACTCTGACTTTAATTTGGACTGACATGGTAGATATTTAAGGATACAACCTCTTCCGTTCTCCCAGAGGAAAGAGAAGTGCTCTGTTTCTCCTTCACCTCCTGAGGTATCACCTCAGATGATAGATAGTAGGCACCTTCCTACAAGCGTTAACCCCTCTTGGCAATCCTGTGGGAAACCAGTGTTCCGCTGCACACGTGTGAATGCAGCTGAGACCTCAGCGCTGCGGTGGCAGTGGGGAGAACCACCTGCTAAGGATTGGGGCTGGAGCCTGAGCTTGCTCTGAAGAAAAGGCTGTTTCCACGCTCTGCTGGAATCGTGCCCCCTCTCCTGGCACTACACTAGCATCTTTTTTTCAGCCTCCCACATCACTCTGTCACTTGTCACCATGTGGGGAAAAAAAAATTAGGGGGAATTTCATGCAGTCTGACGACCAAAGAATTTCTGAACTATGCTCTGTGATTGCCCAAAGAATATGTTTTGCTACAAGTGCACTTGTTTATACTGGATCAAGAGAAGTAAATTACAAGTTCCCTTTTGGTTTTTGTGCCTATGGACAGGCCTAAGGTATGCCTGCAGCTTTTGCTGTTATGACAGTGCTGGGTCCATAGACCCACCAGATGCTCTTAATGCAGGATGCTTTCAGACTGGAAAACTGACATCTCTGCTGCCAAAGCTTCCTCGCTTCCTGCAAATCCTCCTTGTGAAACATGTCTACCAAGAAAAGCACAGGTTTTACTGGTATCACCAGCTCTACTGGGGGTCTTTGAATGACAGCTCTGTCTGGCAGGGACTTTGGCACCTTTTTAAAAGCACTTTGGCACCTGTTTTAAGTTTCCTTCAGTATCAACCTGGTTCTGAAAGCTCCATCTGTCTGCAACTTTGTCAAATATGGGATTCCAGCTGTTTTAGAAATAAACTATGTTCGCTATTTGGATGATGTAACGGCTTTGAGAATCAGATTGTTGTCTTGCTCATTTTTTTCCTTCCTCTACTTAGAGCAGTGACTTTTTCTCTGGGGAGTGCCAGAATACATCCTGTAACTGGAGGACAAGAGGTAGGAGCCACAGAAAAAACTGTTCCCCTGCCATTGTGTTTGGATGTGCTGGTCTCTGACTATCCCACCCAAAAGCTGTCCGTCCTCTTCAGCTCCAGGGTGAGTGTAGTATATCCTTTGAGCCAACACAGGTAGAGTTTGGGGTTCAGTTTTACTGAAAATTAAAATGTAAATGTTGGTAGAAGAAAAAGGTAGTACAAACTGTTTCATACTGCAAAAAAAAACCCCCTGATGTTTGAGCTCTGGGGGCTTGAGATAAGTTAGAGAGTGAATAGTGCTTTTCTCAGGTAGAAACTGGGAAGATGAGAAGGGGAAACGAAACTTTTAAAAAGGGGAAGGGTGGCTTTGAAAAGCCTGAGGACCACAGTGCTGGATGAAGACACTGGAGGTTACGTGACAGCTTGCACGCTTTTTCTGTTGCTCTGAAATGGTTGTGTTTTGCATTGTGTGAACTACAAAGGAATGGTTTCTTTACTCCTAAAAGGCTTTGGGAACAAATCACTATGTGGGCTATAGAGGAGATAGCAGGACACTAGGATAACGATAACTTTTAATGAAGGTGGGGAAGGGGGGGGGGGGAGGGGGGGGGGGGGGGGGTGTTGAGGTGATGCTCCAGGGAAGAGGACTAGGAGCTTATTAGGACAAAAAGGAGCAGGAGACAAGGAAGGGCAGGTGCAAACATTAGTAGAAAGCTTATGAGAGGAGGAACTAATGTGAGCACATTATGCACTAATAGAAACGCTGGCAGGTATCAACAGTTTCTGGCTGTGTCAGTACTTAAAGGGCAGACCTGCCTGGAGTGATAGAAAAGTCTCTTTTCTGCTTGCCTGCTATGTACACTTCATACCCTGTGTCTGGGATTTGCACGTTCTGCTCAAGCTGCGGGAGGACACACTAAACCTGACCCAGAGGCTGCGGAACATGGCATCAAGTTGCCACATGTTCTGCCCTGTTTAACTTTAAATTGTTCTTAGAGACAGCATGGAGCAAAATACTGCTGCTAAGCGTGAGAGGCTATGTCCTGGCCAGTGGCCTTGGCCATCCTTCTGGCTAGGGGCAAAAGTACAGACCCGCTTTTAGACTGTCACCTGAAAGCCAAGGAAAGCTGGAGTTACGTATTGCAGGGCCCTACTGATGAGCTTGACACTGGGCTGGCGTCCAGGAGGTGCTGCTGGTTGTGTGAGATGGGGAGAAGCAGGCACGAGAGAAAGGGTCTGTGGGAGGCCCAAGTCCTGTTCTTTCTGCCTGTGGAGATTTACACCCAGGTGGCAGGAGAGAGCCCTCACCATAAAGCTCTAGGGTATTCTTAAGCAACCCTCCTGTTTAGGCCATTTCAGTTTTCAGACTGGAGTGCAGGTGCAGGCGCCGTGCCCTTGGCTTATCTTTCACTCCTCTGCAGATGCACAGAGCTGCACACTTGCGAAGCCATCCTGTGGGGAACAGGCAGCTCTTAGTTCCGATCCCTGGTCCCAGGGCTTGTTTAACTCCGCTACATGGAAGGAGGTCGGAAAGTCGCACTGGTGCTTGTCATCTTCCTCTCCTGGAGAAGGATGATTACTTTTTTCCAGCACAAAGGCAGCTGGAAAACAGGAAAAGCACTAAGTGCTGTTGGCTGCTCCTTCCTATGCTTGTTGCTTCTAGAGGTCACTGATTACCCACAGCTGGCTACTCCAGAGTTTGTTTCTATTCTGCCTGTCCCTGAGCCCAGAGTCCTTCAGCCTCGGCTAGTCCCCTGGGTCAGCACTCTGGTTTCTCACGGCCAGTATGGTAAGTCTGTGCCATTGTTTGTTTATTACTAGGGACTGACCAGTGTGCAGTGGGTTCCCACCATCCAGCAGCTTGCGTCCAAAAAAAAAACCAAACCCATAAAAACCCCATATTGATGAACAACCAATGAAGTAGCTTTATCCTCTTATTATCTCATATCTGGACTGGTTTACTGGGTTAATGACTTGCCAATTTATTAAGTCTCAAACAAGCTCTCATCACCTGCCCAGACCAGCCCCTCTGCCTTGGGGCAGTTGGCAGAAAAAAAATCTGTCTGTTTTTTGCCCTCTGCCAAACTTCTGTCAGAGCTGCTCTGACAGTGAAATTGAAGCTGTCTGGCCATGCCCAGAAGCAGCACTGCAGGCAGGTAGGAAGCTGGGGGGGGGGGGGGAGAAAAAAGAGTTGTAGCACTACAGGAGTTTCCTGCCTCAAGGGTGAGGTGGCTGCCAAGACAAGCTTTCAGTTTTACATGGAGGCAGGATTTAGATACCGAACTCTCTGGCATTATTCTGGCTTAGTGCTGTGAAAGCTTGGCTTTGAGTAGCCAGAGGCGTGATATTGTGGCTGCCTGTCATGTGCTGGGGCGGGGACAGCAGTATGATAGGGAGGGTTCATAACAAGGAGGCTGAGAGGGACCTTGCCTTTTGGGGTGGTGGTGGTGGGGAATAAGGAGGGCAAAGCTAGAAAAGAAAGTGCAGATGAAGAAGCTAAAATCAAGGGGCCACTGCAGAGTGGCAGTGCTACCTGGCATTTCCTGAGCGAGCCGCTCAGAACAGTGCTGTTACTCGGGTTAATGTTTTCATATCGCTTCCTGAACGTGGTATGACCTCCAGCAGCACCTGTTTTTTGCATATTGCTGAACTACAGCTTTACAGAAAGGCGCATAAGATGATAAATATTTTCAAAAGCAGTTTTGTCACTGGGTGCTAACCGGCTCTCAGGCAAGACTTGCGTTTGAGCAGAGTAAGTCCTTCAGAGCACTAGCCAGCCATGAAGGCCAGAGCTTTTGAAGCAGAAGAAAGGATTAGG